TATATATATATATACTTAATAAAGTTATACGCCAGAATATTTAAATTAATTAGAATATTATAACATTTGAAAAAAAACACACACACACACACACACACACACACACACACACTTTAAAAGTCAAAATAGTAATGTTATCATATACATCGAATACTATCGATAGTAACAATAAATATGTCATATTACATACTCTTATTAATATTTCTATTCTTAATAAAATATAAGATACACATATCATTAAACATAATATTTTTCTTTTCAGGTCGCTGGGATTCGTAATATTTATTATATCAGCACACGTGCATGATTCTCTCGCAAAACATGTAAGTCTATTTATATATAAAACAAATACTTATAGTATAAAAACATCACAAGAGTTATCTTGAAGACCAGAATAAAATCAGGACAAGAGTCTCAACACGTCTTGACGAAATTCTCTCTAGTTTTATTGCCCTCTCTTTGATGATGGTTCGGGTCTCAAGGCCTCCCGGTCTCTCACACACAGATTATTTTGGTACATTTTGTTCCTAGGAAACCCAAGACAATAGGGAACATGAAGATTCCGTAAACCATTACGACGTAACCAATAATTACGATGGCCTTCGAGGATGGCCTTCGAACCGTATGACCTTAACCGTAACCCATATTTCTCTTTCTAAACTTATTCATTATCATAAACTTATTCATAATTTATTATCATTAACTATTTTATCATTTACTAGGATTCTCTTTCCGTCTCTCTCTCTTTCTCTTTTTTCTTCTCTTATTATAAATGATATCTTTGAAATTATGTAAATATTATTTTATAATATCTAGTACAAAACCTTAACTATAATGAATGTATATTCTTCTCTTTTTACTTTAATTTACAAATTATAAATAAAACATTGATTATAATGCTAATCTTCATATCTCATGCCCTTCGTACCTCATTAAATATTACTTTTGAATGTTTCATTAATCTTCATAGCGAATTTTTCTCAGAATTTTGAATATAACAATTTGGATTAAAAACCGATTAAATTTACCATTGTTCTTTTTGAAATATTACAACATTTCAATTTAATATAAGTTTTATAATTTTGTTTTTTCTTTATATCGACGTTTCACGTTGATTAAAAATGTTTCGAAGACATTTTTATTTACTTAATCTATTTTATTTACTTAATCAATTTATTTAGCTCATGAAATTGCAATGCTACAAATAATACGGATTGTTAAAAAAATATTATATACATTATACAATTTATTATAATATTTTTTTAACAACTCTTATATTGCTCGTTATAGCCACGATATCGATTATATTTATTTACTTATTTATTTTTTATAAATACTTCTTTCTCATCATTATGTAATCTCTGATATTATCTTGAATATAATCGTTATTTCAGTTATAAAATTTGATTTGCAAAGAAATAGTTTCGCAAAATCGAAGAACTCGATAATGTTGAAAGTATGATGATCAGATCAGATTAAATTTGAGAAGAGAAATTTTGTTAGAAAACGTTCTTATGATTCCTGATGAGTAAGAAAATGGAAGCATATACTCGTAGGATGAACGCGGATAAGAGAAATGATCATCTCTCATCATTTCAGAAAATGATTATTTCGAATTAGATCGCAGCAATCTTATTGCATATATACATATGTATATGGCTAATGTGCTTTTGCAATGGTCACTGTATGTATTCAATAATCCGCGCCCGATTTACATGAGAAGTAACCTAAGAACCTTATAACCTAAGAAGAATCGAAATCTTATTATATATGTATACTATACTTATTCGTAGTAAAATGCATTTCAATTTTTTATCATTGTGTTACGTTTGCAACATAATCGCAACTCATCTTCAAATAAGTGGAAAGTATTTTCTTATTATATCTAAGAATATCTCGTAGAGTAAAACAAATTGTCGAATCTTCAAGTTTGCTAATTATAATAAGTTTGCTTTTATAATCTTTATTTATAAATTATTATAAACAGCTTAATAAAAATAATAAGTTAATTAAAATTATATAGATCTAAAATTGGATATTGGCAACATTTTTAAGAATGTTGCAAATATTAATAATAATATTAAATAGAATAATAATATTAAATAGATATTAATAATAATAAAAATAGAAAGAGAAAACACTGGAAGGAGAAAAAAAAGATTAAAAAATGTATCCTTTCAGTAGTAATTTTCTTATTAAAATTAATCTATGTGGATACAATACAACATTGGATGTAATATGAAAGTAAAGTTTAATAAATAAACAACAAGAAAGGAAAGAAAGCTTTTGCTTTTAACATTAAGATCCAGCTTGACCAGCTTGGATCTTAAATGTTTAAATAATTCTATGTGAATTTATATACTATCTATGTAGTCATTTAAATTACGCGTCGAATTGATTTTTCGATCTTAAAACCCAAATTGATTGTGTGAAGTACACTATATGACATTACAACATAAATTACTTACAACTATTTACTAATTTACTAATTTTATAGGCATCTTATAAATGTTTTAATAATGCTGAATAACATTAAAATCTGTAAATAATTATATTACTATGTTATTAATATTGTTTAAAATTAAGTAAATTGATTGAAATACCGATAAATGAATAATATTGTTGCACAATTTTAATTATAAAAATTATTCTTTACGCGTCTATTGCAGATTACATACAGTTATGCAAAAACAGATCTTTTTTTGATATCTGAATAAATAAACTAGTTTCTACGATTTTGTTCGTTGAAAGTGAAGGCGGCAAAATTTTCCTATCAAGTTGGCATTTTCATTTATATTTACCATTTTTCTGCAGCCAAAATAAATATTTTTTTCAACTGTTTTTCATTTACACCACTTTAAAGTACTATCTTTTACCTATAATATAAATTTCTCGGAAACCTGACGTGGCCAATTTCGCCATCGGATTTATTTTCAACGACTAAAAATCTATCAGAAAACTTGGTGTATTCAGATCCTCAAAAAGTATTGTTATATTTTTCAATGTACTGATCTAAATTTCAGATCGAAGAAAATTTGTAATGATAAGTT